AACATTGCCTCGACTGACTACAGGGAACCATAAAAAGTGGGACTGTCAAATATCTGATTTTACCAAAAATATTAAATGAAAGCAAAACAATCAACTGGGACTAAAATGAATAAATCATTTATAAATTTCAAAAATGTTTGCTTTTTTATTGAATTGTATTGAGTTCTATATTTATACATATCTACCTTTTATTATTTTCTAATAATGGATCATGTGCTTCTTAATTTCCAGGATGTTATATGTTTGCGATTTCCATATTTTATTGACTTAACTCCATGCTTATGAAGCTCATATTGACTGGTAAAATTTAATGAGATGCTTAGACTCTTTTCTTTTATCTGAAAATTGCGTCCCTCAGAATTTAGTGTCGAGGTTGGTCAGTAAATTTTCATTTGTATCATTGGGCTCCTATTGTGTTCATACACTCATGATGTCATCATTTTGTACTCCCAATATTCTGTGTTATTTCTTTGCTGTCGGTGCATCTCTAAAGCTGCTAGATGAGGTAACTGTAATTGAGGCAAAATATCCCTCATATATATCATTAAAATATAATAGAGTGACAAATTGCAAGCATCTCAAGTTGCTCTTGTTGGTACTTGAGCGTGTATGTGCATTTATGATTCTACCTTGTACAGATCTGTACCAAGCAACAACTCTCTATACGTAAACGCAGCAATAGTGATTAAAATATTAATATCAGTTAATTTCCTATTAGAATCCCTTGATACAACAGAAGTTCCAGATCTTAATAAATAATTCATGAATGGGATGTCAGACACCAACTGGATGGCAGTATACTTTCCCTGCCTCTCATTTTCTGATACATAAACAATATTTTTAAGTTTATCTCATCTGACAGCGTTAACACACTAATATGAGCTGTGTATGTTTAAAAGTCAACTCATTGTAAGTCAAAACAATAAACCCTAGCATTGCTGCTAACACATTAGTGTTAATGTTTGTTTCGGCTCAGCGTAATATTTGCAAAGAGGAATATGAAGATAAGCACACAGTTCTTACTACATCTGGCAGCAGTGTAGATTATGCACAATAGCTGTGCTGGCGTAGCTATTTCTATCCCAAAGAGAAAAATTTGTAAGTGGAAATCGAGAAGTTTTGCCAGCTAAGCAGGGGCAATAATTAGGCGTACGGTTATCAAAGCACATCATTTTCCTTGCAACCTAGGTTTGTGCCGATCATTTTATTCTGAGACTGTGGGTGGGTATGGTATTCGGCTTCCAGTGTGAATGGTCGGGGATATAATCTTGTTTTATGTCACTGCATATGTGCTTTGTTCACTCTTCAGTATTGCTGTTATGGCGATGTATCTTGCAGTGGGGTCATGCAGTTGTATGAGGCATATTCTGCGTTAACCTTTTTTTATTAGTGACCCACATTTTGTTTCAGCCTTTTTTAGCTTCTGTTATTTACGATCAAAATAGTAATTCCGCGGAATTTTAAAAAGTTACAACATTTTGATATGTTACTTGAAAGAAGGAATTGCTATTCTGTGAACGGTCAACAATTTTCCCAAGTAAAGAAACACCAGGAAATAGGGGCATGAACAGTGATACAGACAGGTTGAATACATCTACTGGAATAGACATTGGCAAGTATTGGGCAAGTAAAAATAATCCTCGCATTTGATATAATACCTTTCATCTCAGGAGGACATCTCAAAGCACTTCACAGGATTCATTGTAAAGTGAAATGACTGGGTATTTTATAGGCAAAAAAATTGAGGAAATAACATTGGTTTGAAGCTCATATCTTGCAGTTTTATTCTTCACTTGGTGTATTCTCAATTCCTGATGCTGTTCAGGCAGCTACAAGAGCAACAACAACTTGTATTTATATATTACCCTTCACATGAGGCAGAGTCTCAGAGCGTTTAATCTGTTACCTGTTGCTACGGAACGTCTTTTGCAAATTGTTTTTTTTATTTCTTCATGATATCATGCACAACTCATGCAATGGTGCACTACAGTGTGAATTAAACATTGTATTCTGTATGCAGATCAAGTTTGCACAACACTTTTTTTGTGAAGAGGATGCCCCTTTAAGTCTGTGTGCAATGTACAAGTTAAAGGGCATTGCAGTTTAACCCTATTGATTGCAAAATTCAAGTAATCACTTATCTTTACAGCTCTGCTTCTTTTCACCTGATTGAAAATTCCAGATTAATTGCCTTTATCCCATTTTCAAAATTTGCCACCAATTATGTTCTCGAAGAGGACTTAAGGTGGATTTTGGATGATTGGATTAATTGACTGTAAAATAAGAACACATTCACAAATTCTGTTGGCAGATTAACAGGAACATATGCACATCCAATTGGCAACCACAAAAACCCAAATGAAGGGTTAGCAAAAATATATTGCAATTGCTCATTAAAAAGAATCCTTCACCGAGAATTACATGAAATTTAAAAGCGGTCCAACTTGTGGCTTAGTATTCATAAGGTTTGCCAGTTCAAACAACACAGTCATTGCTGTTTTATTCTGAACCATCAGTCCTATTATGTACCGTTTCATGTGATATGTCTCAACTTCTGAAGCTGGACCATTACAGTTTTTGAACAGTTGGATACAGGTTTCATGAAATGAACATTTTAGCAGAACACAACTGTCTCTCACCTTGGTATTAGATTGAGGCTGTTTGGGCAGATGGCACAAATGAACGGGGGAGAATGCTGCTTATTGTTTAGATCATTGCCAAAAATTACTCTATACTCCCTGAAGAATTCTCAAAGGTTTTTTTTTCCACCCATGTTTGCTCCAGTTAGTTCAAACCAGATAATTGGGCTCAATAAAATGCTGTTTTTAAAGGACAACTATGGTGGTGGATCTATGCAACCTGGATTTGGTTTACAGGATATGGTCACCCCATCTTAAGGCAACTATAGTCAATGTTGTACTGAGGTTTGACCAGCACAATGAAAATGGTGGGAATGTGGGAGAACAATTTTCTAGATATGAAATATAAAAATAAATGTGCATCATTTATGAATTTTTAAATAATACACTTAGATTGTTTATATGGTCTGTGCGACATAATGAAGAAATGAATGTTGTATCTCCAAGAAACACAAGCTTTCAAGATGGCAAAAATATATTTCAAAAGAGACTTCTGGAAATATATAGCAATCACCTCTATCAATGCTGCAAATAGACATTTATTAATACAATTACCTATATAAGAATGCCAGAGAAATAGTGCTAACAAGGTTGTTATATCAGACAATAGCCCAGCTCCTGTGGTTGTCAATTAGATAATTACAGAACCATTACTCTAGCACTGAAGGTCTGGATACCAGCCATATTTGAGGAAAAAGATGGTCTGTCGTGGTATTTTTTCATTGACCGCACAGCTGAGGTTTAACCAAAGCATTTCAAAGTATTCGTCTCTTCTCGATTTTTTTAAGATCAGGCCTTTCCTTTCTGTTCTCCCACATCTCAACCAACCCATTTAGTGAACAAATTCTCTAAATACATAGGGGTCACAACAAATCAGCTTCTCTAAAGCATTACCTGCCCGTTCCCTCCGCTCAGCGGGTTCCGACCTGCTTCATGTCCCTCACCTCGCCCTCCCCACCAGTGGCTTCTGCCACTCTGCCCTAACCCTCTGGAACTCCGTCCCGCAATCCCTTCGACTTGCCCTCTCCCTTGCCTCCTTCAAGACCCGTCTCAAGACCCTCCTCTTCGACTGTGCCTTTGGTCACCGTCCTTCCCCTCCTGCTCTCCACCCTCCCCAATCCTGCCCCCAGGTGATTGTCCAGCACTTTGGGATGTCCTCCCAATGTGAAAGACGCTACACAAATGTAATTTGTTGTTGTTGTAGAGTCGTGGTCTCCATTTGTATCAGTCGTTTACCACAACCAACGCATGATATATTCATTTATAATAGGGCAGGCAGTCCATCACCTGTGCTTGTTGAATTGATAGACTAAAATAATTAGACTTAATAATCCAGTCAGCTTGGAATGGCTGCCTTATCCTCCCACTGGCATTAAAATAAGGTGGTGATAAATTGGAATTACCGCATTCTACCCAGAAAACATAACACCTCGAGTTGGGATGTTGCTCCTTCCCCAAAATGAGAGTTGATATGCCCCGTTATAGAATTGTTCAGCATGTAATGATATCTTTTAGAAAGAAAAAAACAGAGGATCTTAGGCTGAATGACTTCAGTCTGCATTTGTTTCAGATTGGATCCAATATTAAGCCTGGTTCAAGGTAATGGAATTGGTGCAAACAGGTTCTGAGTTAATAATGTGCACGTGTATGCCATTTGCATCCTGTGGTTCACAGCAAGTTACCTCTAATTAATTCTCAAATTTTCCTTGGATCTTTTTGACTATTTCTTTTATTACATCCATTCTCACAAACAGCTCCATCATTAAATACAAAACCTTAATAAACCTGATTTTTTTAATAACAAAATTCAAATATAACCTAGCCCAAAAATAGTGGTTACAGCTTTTTTGCAAAATTGAAAAGAAAAATTGTAAATAAAGATGTGAAATGTTATGTAGTCCAATTGAGATTTAGTATGTGTAGATCAAACTGAGGTAAAGTAGGTTATTTAATCTTCACTGTTTCCACAGCATCAACTCATTACAAAGTACAGTACTGTATATTGGTGTTTTTCTTCATCTAATACATTCAGCGAATGGATGAACTCTATTTAAATAGCTTTGTTTTATTGGTTTTTTTGCTGACTGGCACTTCAGCAATTTAGCTAGACAAACAAAAAATATTTTAATGAAACAAATCTATTTGTGTTCCCTTGTTAAATTGTGTGCCATGAGAACAACTTGTTTTCAACTAAATTCTGTGGTACTTGATAGAATTTTAGTGAGAATTTTCCCTTTCTGCATATTAAAGTGGATTCGATTTTCTATCTTGTACAGATGGAAGAATGCAGAGTTTTATCAGAGCTGGATACAAATATTTGCTGCAGTTCACGTTCCTTGACAAGATTACTTTGCCTTTCAGGTGTCTGAAGTGTGCTGATGCTCCTTGTCAAAAAAGTTGCCCTACTAATCTGGACATAAAGTTATTTATCACCAGCATTTCAAACAAGGTAAGAACTGAGCAAAATTCAAGTTTTCTAGCCTTAACTATATGATAAATGATTTGCATCAAGCAATGTTGTACAAGCTTAACCAGTTGAGTTCAGTTGTTTGAAGGATAGATACAGGCTGGTATAATACTAAGTCAAATATTTTGCCCAACCTCTGGCAGGTTTAATTTATAATACCACCAGAAATTAACTACTAATGGGTCATTAAACGTCCTGACTGTCTCCAGTTTCATTTATAGGGGATGAGTTGGGAGAAGTGGTCAGGATCTGGAAGCTGACATGGGGTGATCAAGATTTTATTAGATATGAATGCAATTGCAGATCCTTGTCACCTTGAGATATTTAGCAGTACACTTGCCAGAACTATAGCATACAAAATGAAGCAAGACTCTTCCTTGCAAAGTATAAACCAAACAAACTGCTTCTGGTGCAAGTGATCTTACATCTTAAATGGTCATTTAGTGACATTAAAATGAAAAAGACTCATGGTCAGTTTAATACAACCTTCTATTCCTGCAACAGAGGTCAAATGAAGCATCACTGTGCATATGCCACAGAATGATTAGTGGAGCACAGGCTGTTTCTAGGGCTGGATTTGCACTCCCATGTCTTGACAGATCAATGTGGCAAGTAATAAGGGTTTAAAAATTTCATCTGGAAGAGCTGCACTCACTCACTGTTCATTGTGGGAAATCTTTCATGTCATAGCTGGTGCCCTTGTGTAATCTTTTAAAGCCTGAAAGGCTCGTGATTAATGATCACCTGAAAAGTACAAGCCGCTAAAGCAGCAGCTCAAATGCTAAGTTAATTCCTTTGTTGTCTTATTTTTTCTCTCACTTATAAACTGAACAATAGAGTAATGGTGCATCCGATGCTTTATTTTGTCTGTAGTTTCTGCACATTAGTCGGCAATAATTTGAGAAAAACGGAAAACTTCAACTACATAATGAGAGTAACCTCACATTACTCTTTGTCCTGTATTGATTTATTAAGTGCTGGTTCATCCTCATTCTTCAAAAGTTCTGTATGTTGCTGGTTGATGGGCAACATTCCCAATACATTTGGGAAATCCACAGAAAGGAACAGCCTCCCTTAAAGGTTAAGATAATGTGACGAGTTTAACAGGTACAGTTTCTCACCTGTTTCTCACCCTCTCCCCCCTCCCCCCCACACACACACAGACACAAGATTCCCAAGCTGTTGCAATGCAGAGAATGTAATGAAGAGAAGATTGCAAAGAGAGGGTTAGGATGAGACCATAGAGTGATTTGAGAACCAGGATCTTGAAATCGTTCCTCTGGGAGACAATGGAGTTTGGGAAGGATTAGAGGGAGGAGTGGTAAAGGGTGCGTGGGTGCACACCTTTGTGCAAGAGAGAACAGGCTTTACAATTCAGGACCAGTTGAAGGTTTTGGAGCCTGGAGTTGATGAGGTTTTATAAGTTTAAGGGCTTGAAACTATTGGGATTTAAGATTCTGCAAAATGCCAGGTTGTGTGGTGAATCTGAGACGCTACCTGTAACCTTTTCCAAGCTGATCAAATCTTTCTGTAGGATATGTTATTGGAAGTCATTGCTCAGACATAGCTGGTAAATATCACGAGTGAAGAGAGGTCCAGGACTTGTGGTCTTGTACTCAGGGTATGGAGTCTAATAGATGCTGCTAGTCTACAGCAATCAGCATCGAGAAGTCTGAGCTAAAACCTGCCCAGAGTGGGTCATGTCACCTGCTGTATTGTGAAATGTTCTTTTCAGGGTAACAAACATCGAGGCACTGCCCAGGGTCATTATGTTCAAACAAATACTTTGTTGTCACACAATAAAATTGTCACATCATTGCTTGAATCATCCTCTGCGGGGGGATTTAGCAATAAATATCTCGTAGATGTATTGTCACAAAAGGGTAATTTCCCACCTTATATCCCAGATATTTTGTTATAAGGCACGTTCTACTGGATTTACACCCCAGTCCCCATCACACGAGTTAACAGAGGCAGCAACACTTATGAGTAGTTTGTTCCTGCTTACAGTGGGACCTCTCCATAGCTTCCTAGACTTAGTGAATGGTGAAACGTGTTAGATGCTTGTGTGTTTCTTGTGCCTTACTTTATTGATGCCTGTAACTCAGACTCAGTTTAGCAATATCTTCACCCGGTGAATGCAGTCAACGATTTTAAAAAAATGCTCACTTTTTGTTCATGTGCTTTTGCTCTTGGTTTCCTACCACTTGACCTCCTCAATTCTCCAGCCAGGGATTTCTCCAGCCCAATCATTCCCTTTGAAAGAAACGTTAATTGAGCTTTCACTTTCACATCCTCTTTGACCTTCAGCACAATGCCGACAATTTCTTTTTTTGTTTAATTCCCGACATCCAGAATTCCTTTGCCTTGTTATATTCCAGAACTAATGATAGAAGTGGTTATGTAGAGTTAATGGAACCGTTTTGTAAATTGCTGTTAAAAATCTTCTATTTTTATTGTGGATTTACAGAATTACTACGGTGCTGCCAAAACCATTCTATCTGACAACCCCCTAGGCCTAACATGTGGGATGGTATGTCCAACATCTGACCTGTGTGTGGGTGGATGCAATTTATATGCAACCGAAGAAGGAGCTATTAATATAGGTGGACTGCAGCAGTTTGCTCTAGAGGTATGTCAAAAGCTGTCTTAAAGTTAAATACATCAGTGTTTGGTTTTTAAGCCATTCTGCTTCATGGATTTGTAAGAAAAGGTAATAGAGTCAATTTTATTGATCAGATTTAAGGACTGTATTTGGTATCTGTCTATTCCTGTAATGTGTTCTAAATAACACACCAATGTGGGAGAATCATCACCGTAAGGACTGTTGCCATATCCTGCGATAGAGTGAAAAGAAATACATAATGGGTGCTGGGGTTGCATTGTTACAGAACTTGAGATGGAACCAAAAGCCATACTGTATAATCTACAGTAAAGCATCACATTGTAAATACTTTTGTTGATGGACTCCCAAATAATATTATTCCCACTAATTAATCCATTTGGTAAGTGCATCAATTATTGTATCTCTCATTTCCTGAGGTATGACGCATATAAAGTGGAAGGTTATAATAATAGTGCTGGAAAAATGCTTTGCTAAAATATATTTCCATTGAGAAACATTAGCCATTGCAGGAAAGCTCACTCCACCTGTTACTTATAATACTGCGTTCAGCAGCTGCTGAACATCTAATCTCAATATATTTTACTGCATCATTTGGTATTGACTGTTTTCAAATTAGTCAGTTGTCTAATGGACATGGGTTGGATTCATCAAACTGATGTACTAATCTTGCAAAACTTATTTCCTGCTTTTCGCACAGCAAAAAGAATGAAAATTTGTGGCAATGTTAAAGATTTCTAAAAAGAATTGGAGCTGCTTAGAAATCGATTTTATATGAATTAAGCCACATAAGGTTATCGTTTGGGTTTTGAGGTGCAGAGTAATTCATAGCAAACTATAATGTATTCATCCAGTGGTTGAACTTGTAGCATTGGTGAATAAGGAGAGGAAATAGCTTCTGCAGGTCATGCTGACATAATATGTGATAGTACTTCACCAAAATCAGCAAGAGTATTGATGACAATGGTAAGCCGTCTGTTACTGCAGTTGTGGTGCTTTTGACACTGAGCGTCTGTCAACTAATACTGGCAAAGCAGTGATGGTTGTAGCTGCCTATTGTAAGGCTAGTCTGCCTGGATGATAAATGTCAGATTCAGTGTTAGAAATATAGGCTTACATAAAGGAAGAAGATTAGGCTTATAATAGGTGTCATAGCCATGATAAATCCAATAGCAAAATGGTAGTGTTTAGAGAACAAGTGCAAGTAATAACTTTGGACTTGATTTGTGACTTTGGTCTGTCTTATGAAAAGATTGCATTTCATTTAAGCCTGAGATCAGTTACAAAGTATATGGTTTCACAGTTTGATGAAAGTCGCTAAATTTGGGCCATTTTATCACTGGCTATTAGGTGTTCATTTTTGATCCATTGGACATAAAAGGATAGCTAAAGACAGTGCTTTCATTACACAGTCTAATATCTCTTGGGAACTTGATTTTGGCTAGCTGATCCATAACTGTCAATGGCATTCCTCATAATTCACGGTGACAGTCTCGTATGTTGGTATGCGCTGCACAAAATTTGGGCTACAATTTTCCAGTGTATTCAGTACGTACATGGAGTAGAGGGAATAGACTGTAGTATTGGAGCATTCTGTGGTTAGTACAGTGAACTTCACCATTTTGATTCCCTATCACATTTATGTAAACGTACTATTGTGTAGTATAGTACAATCAGCTTTTGATCAGTCCATTATATTGTCAAATGCCTAGGGTGTTTGTGGGGCACAATCAGTGGTTGAGTTTGGATCCCCAGAAGTTACGCTCAATTTCATTGCTAACCACCCATGTAGGAATGAGATATTGTCCAATAAGCAATAGCTTATTGCCAGGTGTAAGTTACGACACTTGATCACAATTTAGTTATTATTGAGACTTACTGTCTGAACAAGCCACTTTGTTTATAATATGTGCTAAATAATGCTAATAAGTTAACATGACGGCACATGCTCCACGGGGTTAAAGGCAAAAAATGGACATGGAAAAGAACCAAGGTGGTGCATATTAATTATTCATGTGAAACAGTTTTGCAGATTTAAAGATGCCCTTTATTCAAAGTGTCAGCCACATTTTCCACAAGGGAGGCATCATGCTAGGTAAAAAGCAAATAAATTCTAAACTTTATCAAACTGAAAGGGATTGTCAAAAAGCATTAACTACCGGAAAAGAGCGACGAACAAACAAATGGATTTTCCTGCCGAAAGGTCAAAAGAACATTGCTGAGGCACACAGCCACAAAGAAAACTCTAGTTTGGCTGCAGGACAAGATTGTGAGGATCTTCAGAATCATTTCAGAGGTCAAAACCTTTACTCTGGAGCCCAAGATATCTGGTAAGTTTAAATTGCATTTCTCTTTTTCATCCCGTCTTCCACTGCAGTAAAATTGTAACGTAAGCAGCGTACCAATAAAGTTCTTTAAAGTTTTAACATTTATTTGCAGAAGCCTTTGATGCCATAGTCAGTGGACGCTCTTTACTTTTGTATAAATCGCCCCTAAAATAGTATCTGCGGCTGTTTTTCAGTGCATATGCGCATTCGAATATCAGTTTAAGGATAGTCAATTTTCATTCACAGATAAATTGTCATCAGCTCCACTTCTAATCCGTCTAGCTCCACTTCATCCGGTGAAAGGACATGACCATTCTGGAGTGTCAGAAACAGGCATCAAGTAACATAGACTCTAGTGGTGAGGAGGAGTCTTCATCTGCCTGCGGACACTGAAAAGCATCTGCCCAGAATGGTAGTCTTCAGTCAGAAGCAGAGCAGCAGGGTGACCCAGAGTCCCTGCTGCGTACCACAAATGTTCAAGATGAGAGGATGTATCAGCCACAAGAGAGAAGTTGCCAGCCTTGTTGCACCTCTCTCCCCCCGCCCCCCCACACACCCACCCAGACACACACGCACGCACACACACATACGCATAAAAGCACTGGGCACAGGTGGTGTAGCAGATGGGCTTTCTGCTCAATTTGCACACGATATTGGTGCATACCCAACAACCCTTCTCATGTTGCTTTGGGATGTAGCCATTCACAGCTCCTTAGTGGCTTTTAAATGCCTCTCCACAGGGGTATGGAGCCAGCATCTGGTTCACCTGTGACTATAGAAGGCTCCTCCTCATTTCAAGGTAGAACCCTGTGGAGCACCTTTTACTGGATAAGTCTGGCAGCCAGTTTTTTTTTCCTTACGTGTTTCAGTTTATTGCATCAAGCAGTGTGTACCACATATACATGGTGTTATAGTTCAGCATCGTAACTTTTGCACATATTACGCAAATAAATATTTACTTGTATGTAATATATTTAATTGTTTTGTTTTGCATATCATCTACCCAACTCGAATTGAAAAAACACCTTAGGTTGTCGTGCAGTTAAATGTGTCTTCCTTTTTGAGGAGTGAGTCATAATCGTTTATGTTCCTGTTAATACTTTTGAAATAAAAGATATTTGTTTCTCCTTTATGTCTCCAGTGTACAAGTCAGTCATTCAAACCCAGTTCATATGCAGATAAGAACCCTACAGCATTCTGTCTGTTCACCCTCCTGTGTGGTTGTATAGCTGTTTCTGAAATGTATATTCTGATTCAGTACTCTTTTCTCCAAGGAATCCATTAATATATTCATGTTCTTCCTGGTGCCAGTCGCAAAATTGTAAGTATTTCCTCCACAGAACTTAAATTGATCTAGAGCCAGTCATACACACACACAAGCACAGATAACTAGTGCACAGGTATTCATTTTGAGGATGGGATTATGGGATTATGCAATACTCGTATCATGATACCAGTATTGTTCAGTAACCTGTTCACCACTCACCTCTATTGATGTAAGATACTTTCACATGGTAGATGCTTTTCTGCATCACATTCTGCAGGTCTTCTGTTTAATACACCGGTGCAAAATGCTATGAAAGTGAATTAAAACTCCAAATGGGACATGCAGTATGGCACAAGTTAATAGGATCTGTCACCCCTTCCCACCTGTACCTCTCTACGCATACATCATTAGTAGTGGATGTGTCATGCACTTGTTTTTCAAACCATTGGTTTTCAAACCCTTTACCATAGCGTTCGATCTATGTTGGAAGGTGCAAACTAGCATAAACACCGATCAAACAATCCACGACTCCGAGACAACCATTTGTTAAATTTACCAACAGATAACCTCCCTCAATATCCTATTAGTAATAACACATCTCCAGTATGGGACTGAGCTGTACACAAGTGTCTTGAGTTCAGTCTTCAGTCGATGCTACATCATCAAACTACAGCTGGGTTAGCAATAGTAGGTACCTGTATCACAATTGGCTTCAATGCACTCTATGGATCAGAGCTTAATTTTATCATGATGCTTGAATTCTTTTTCCCTTCACTGTAAAGTAGTACAAAATAGATTTTATTGCTATGGTTGTACAAATTGGCTTTCTGGCTATCTTTGTATCTAGCCGCAAGTTTCATTTTAGTTTCATTATAATGTGACTGCTCAGTCTCGATTTCAATTCCAAACCTCTGATTTCCAGCAGAAATCAATATGCATTCATTATTTGCTTCGCTTTGTTTACTAGCTTTTTCTATATTTTAATTCTGACAATAGCAAATATGAAATGTACAGCTGAGAAATCCAATAATAATTGCATTTGGAAAGAGCCTTTAAGATGCTTTTATGGTTGGGTTCTGAAGCATGAAAACCATTTTTCAGTTCAGTTATCTCCCTTTGTGGTGTTTGAGGTTTGGTTAAATACATTGATAATGCTGTGTTTATTGGAACCTTTTCTCTGTTAGCCAGGTCTTTAAATTAAATATTTAACACATTATGAAAGGTGAAGTGGTTACATTTATACTTGTGACTCTTTGTTTGGATAGCCTGGTATCTGACACATGTGAAAACCTATTGCTGTGCTTATGAGTGTGCAAACGAGATTGAGAGGTCCATGTATATACTGTATATCACCGACACAAGGAAGGACATTTTATATTATGGGATGATCGAGTGGACATCCAGTAACTTTTCAGTAAACTGTACAAATCCCGCCTAAAGACCTTCCTTTTTGATCGTGCTTACGGTCACCTCTCCCCCTGGCTTGGGGGTCAGACCCTGCGTGAAGGACGGTATGTAAATGCAAGTTGTTGTTGTTTTTGTGATTATCTTTGCGCCTCACTCAGTTAAAGTCTCCAACTAGCACCTGGTCTGGTGTGGGCAAGAATGCCTCACAAGCTATTAATAGCGGCTCTACACCTGTCAATGAGACCTATTGAGAGAGGTCCTCACTGAGGGAGGTTGGGTAACTTAGGCCTTGGTTCATTCAGATCAAATGATCCTTTTATGCTTAGGTCTCAGATGTCAGTAGTTGTTGCACAAACTTAACACTCAAAGCACCATTTGCACAGGTAAGGTTGCTTCAAAGTTGTTTGACCTCTGATGTTTAACCTTTGAAACTAAATCAATGGGTTTGGAACTATACTGATAATGGTAATACCTGTAAAGTCAGTCCCCAAAATACCTTCAAGGAATGTTCATAGGTATTATCTATATATACCATTACCCCAAATACAACATCACATTCACCAATGAGCAGCCACTTCAGCTCATGCTGCAGAAATCAGCAGATTTTTAAAAAAAATTTAAATGTAGAATAAACCGATTGAGCAGTAGAAATGTTTGCTTTGAGTTTTAAGATTTGTGTTTTGTTTGACTCGCTTAGGTATTCAAAGCTATGAAGATCCCTCAGATTCGGAATCCATCGCTTCCACTTTCAGATGAATTACCTGACAGCTATCGTGCTAAAATAGCCCTGATCGGATGTGGACCTGCCAGTATTAGCTGTGCATCTTTCTTAGCTCGACTGGGCTACACAGATGTAACGATATTCGAGAAACAGCAATATGGTGGGGGTTTGAGGTAGTTCTCATCTTGCTTTTGTAAATATAATTAAATTGAATATGTATGCAGAGTTGCTTGTCCTATCTCTAGTGTCATGTTTGCATTTCTTTGATGTATTCAAAATTCGACGGGAGCATTGACTTTTTATTCTTAAAAAGTAATATTAAGATTGAGTCGAATTGTCATTTTTAAAGATTAGAAAGGCATAATTATCGCATCCCACTATGTATCTATGTTTCCACTAAGAATGATTGAAATCAAGCTATGTCCAAGCATTAACACTGCATTACGGTGTTGACTTGCAACTAAATCAGCACTTTTCTAATCAATGAGAATTAATGGAACACATTTTCATTTCTTGTAGCACAAGTGAGATCCCTCAGTTCCGACTGCCTTATAATGTTGTCCAGTTTGAGATCAAGCTGATGAAGGACCTTGGCGTGAAGGTAATGGAGAGAGAAACATGCAGAGAAAATTAAAAATGGCTTAATGTCCACGATAGATTAACAGCAAAATGTCACTTAGATTAGCAAAGCACAATTAAAAGCAACACTAGTTGTTAGAGTCGGAAGGAAACCTTTAGTTCAGGATATTTGTCTGTCTGGTTTGAATGCCACCATTCTAGAAAAGGGCAATCAATAGTTCTCTTTTGACTTGGCAGGGTGTGATTAATTGTTTTAAGAGAAACAAATTCAAAAATTCCTATCGACATTCAGTTTAAATGATGGTTCAATCTGATTTTTACTTTGTTTCAAATGTGTTTATATGTTGTGATTATCTTTTAAATTGATAAAAAAAAGAAAGTTAATTAGCACAACACAACTTTAAAAGAGCTTTCTGATCCTGAGACGAGTGATTCCAACTGATTGAAATGGTCCTCTAAGTGTCAAATCTCTAGCTTTTTTACTTTACTGTAGAAATCTAATATTTCCAACCCCCACAAAAAAACATTCTATGCAAAAAAACTATACATCAAACTAGTACAGTGGTAAGTAAATGTGCTTTGAAATCAATTATCCTCTACTTTGCGAAAATTCTGTAGTAATTCTATATCTAACACGATCGTAAATAGTATTAACACTCTGTTGGAACTCAGCAAATCAGGGAAGTTACTTTTCCTTATTTTGTTAGATTGTTTTTGGTAAAGGTCTGGGAACGGAAGGGATGACTCTGGAAACCTTAAAGCAAAATGGATACGAGGCAATCTTCATTGGTATAGGTCAGTGTACAAACCACATTAATTTTACTTTATGTTTGCAACAGATACAGCTGGATAAACACTTTTGTGTCCACCGCTGGATAAATATTGACAATTGGATGGATTGCAATCCAGTTTATGAATGCCACATAATACTTTCGTGACATTACAGTATAATTCGTCATCAAATAGATGTGCACTTTGTATTTTGTATTGATGCATTTTCAGTTGTGGAACATATGCAACTACATTATGTCAATTAATATTGATACGTAGTTTTAGATGGACAAATGCATTTTAGAATCCAGCTTTTTCTGTAATATTTAGTGTCAGGATTTTAGAGCATAATTTTATAAAATATCTAGTAGAAATGTTTACATCATGGAAGCTACAAATTCTATTTATTCTCAAACTAGGATGGACACCACATCTTTATAGCGGCCATGTGAGGCTACTTAAAAGCATTGAATTATTAAATTTTTTAAAAAGAATTTGATATGAATGCATAAGTTGATTATGCTGTTGGCTTGTTTGCCGTTTTGCTTTAAACTATGTAGTGTAACCATTTTAATGCGTTTAAGTAGGTCACAGCGTTTGGTGCAAAGAATCTCGCAGGAAGAGTGTTTGGCAATTATAGCGCCATGCGAATCATTTTGCAAGGCTTTTCAATAGTTTTACAATATCCCATAATAGCTGTTCCTTCCTGAATAGTTTACCATTTTGTTTCTCTTCAGTGCTTCAAATGCTTGAAAACCATTCACAACCTTGACTTGTTTTGAACCGTGTGCTCCAACATGCATTTTTTTTAAAAAAATCTTCCCTTTGTAATTATTCAAGGTGCTTCAGAATTGATGAGTTTTCGGTTTAGAATACGCAGCGGGATTTAGAATAATGTGTTGACTTGCCAATTGCAAGGTGTTTTATTTGACTTAATGTTTCAATATTACATGAAGAGGAATCCTTTACACATGCGTTGGCCTTGCTCTGAAATTCGGATCAGTCCCAGCAGTAAAATCTATATGTTCCTAGATGTGAGAGTGTTCAAATAACTAATACTGAATATAGTTCTTTATAAAACATCAGGTGCACTCCACACCCCATATAATTTGGTTGCTCAACACAATGAACTTGTGCAAGCAGGTTTAATTTATTCCTCACACTGTACAAAATGAAGAGCCCATTCTTCCAATCGCCTGAATTGCAAATAGGAGATACATATATGCTACTCATTTAGCATTTTAATATCTTTGATGCAATACACAATAAACTGCAGTGCACCTTTTAAAAGATTAGAAGAATCAATGATCGTGAAATAACTTAGGTGCAAGTAATGCAGCCGTTTGATTAGTAAAGTAAAAACAGAATTTCTTTAATGCAGGTTACATATATGGTTAGAAAATAACCAGTGAGTAAAAGTTTAGAATCTAAATTAAGCATCGTGTCCTAGCAATAGAGGTGTTATGACATCGATGCATTGCTTGATTAATGAGTGAGCAGTGTTGAAGCTACTGGAGAGATTTGTAAGAAATGATTTATTATTCTGAGAGTATTGCCTCCTTGCTGCAAATTACAGATTTAAGTACCTCTGTTTGAATTAAATAAATGAGATGCAACATGTGACAAATGGAGGCACAAATCCGTTGAAAGGTTTGTCACAAGGAGGTATTATAGTTTTAAAAAAATAACAGTCAATGGGTATTCCTGTGGTGCTAGATACAAATCACTGTGTTGCTTTATTAAAATCAACACAGCTGGATTACTGGCATCTATCATCCATGACAAAAAGGGGAAATTAATGTGCTGTGACTTGTGTTGATGATACCAATGTCCAAGACAAAGTCATCTGTGAAGAGGGTAGGACACATGCGTGTTATCTTATTACATTTTAAGATTACACTTCATTTATTGCTGTGATAATCCTGTGCATATTAAGAATTAACTATGATATCACAGCATGTGAATTGTGTATATACACATCATAGTGAAGGCTATCGGGTATTGTCAACCCAATATTATGTAGAACTGCAGCAGATAACAAGTGCCATTATTTTACCCATATGTTTGTGGTGCACCATTTGATCACCAGGCTAAAAATTCAGCTAACTTTGGCAATGGAAACCATCAAATTAAAACACAGCACTTTCTTTCTCATCCATTTGCACTGGTACTTCACCAGATCTAACCACCAATGGTTAGTTGCTTACAAACCACACAGAGGTATCCCACAGATGAATGAATGTTGTCTCGAGCGCATACACGAGTTGGCATGTCTCCCGCCCGACCCGCCCTACCATCGGTGGCCGGGCTTTCAGCCTCTCTGCCCCCACACTCTGGAATTCCATCCCACAGGCCCTTCGCCTCGCTTCCTCCCTCGCCTCCTTCAAGGCCAGTCTCATGACCCTCCTCTTCGATCGTGCCTTCAGTTGCCCTCCCACCTCCCTGCCTTCCCTCACCCATCCCTCATGCTCGGGTCCTGACCCCTGACTGTCAAGCACATTGGGACGTCCTCTCGACGTGAAAGGCGCTCTAGAAATGTCATTTTGTTGTTGTTGTTGTTGTAAGTGGCGTCTCTCTCTTTGCTGCAGAATGACAAGACTTTGCACGTAAGACATTTGACATCATATTGTGTTTAGAAAGATTGAAAACAGAACGCGCCATAATTCCACCACCAATTTATGGCTGGTCTTTTGTTATATTTATGAAACACCAGTCAGAAGGCTGCTGGAGTAGAACAGTTAGGTTTTAATTTGCTTATTTTGTTGCTAGGGAACCAATCTTCCTATGACAACAACAAAGTATTCCAATTGGGTTGGTCCTGACATTACGATTTATAAAATTCACAAAGAGAAGACTAAATGATTTAAATTTAAATGATCTATTATACCATTAATGTCTTATAAAAAGGAAGTAAGAATAACCAAATGACATGCCTATTTTATTCACCGACTAGACTATCACTAGACACATGAATGTTTTCACTGTGTTCAAGTGCGATTTCCTTTTCATTTGACAATTAGGGTTAAAGCTCTATTGCATTGGCTGTAAAATGCTGTAGAATATTGTTCTCAGTGCAACTCTCCTATCATTTATCCTACCAAACCCACCGAAAAGTCTAGAAACAATATTTCAAACTGCACAACTACTGTGTTGCTGTATCCTGTGTTATTCACAACATCCCAAAACATATTTGGCGATGTTAAAAGGAATTGCAGCAAATGTAGTGCCAAAGTATTCTTTAACATTTTTTTAACTGCATTTCTGAATTGCAGTTGATTAGCTTTACTAAATTACTTGATGCGTAAATAGCTCAATGTGTTGCCTCATACATTTGCATGCCAGTTGCATAGCAACAGATAACTGTGCAGTTTAACACATGAGTTGCTGTACCACAACATATTCATGTAGCATGAGTATTAACTGTTTTCTTTAAACAAAGTTTATCCGAATACAGTTAATAGTTCCATAGCCAAGGTGATTGTATTGCAATTATTTTTTACGGGTTGGAAATATGATTATGGGAGTATCGCAGGAGTGATGTAAGTTGGTTCGACCAACAAGACCTAATTGTGAAGCATCTGCTGAAATCTCAACTATAAACTGAGTTTACAACTTTAGCTGTTCTCAGGGTAGCTGCTGAACGGAGATCACAGAGAGAAGGAATATTGAAATAGAATCCGCTTTAATTTGCAGTTCCATAAAACTAGTTGAATATTTTACAGGTGCAATTATACTGTTTGTGAACTCACTGCAAACATTTCCGTTAAAGGTTTCAATTTCCAGATTGCCTTAGTACTTAATATATGCCTAATCTCAAGACAGTCCCTGTCATAGTTTACATATAATAAAAGGAACACGTATCCAGCCATCCTGTGTTGCCTGATACTTTTAAAGATTACAGTAATTGAATGATTTGATTTGCTAGTGATGGCACTAGGTGCATAACACTACATTGTATAATGGAAGGTAGATAAATATTTAAGCATAGAACAGTTAATTGTGTAATACTAGTGAATGTGCTTTCATTATCATCATTAAAGAATTAATAAGAGGACAAGGTATCATGGTTGTAAATACTGCATATCCACTTATGCCCCATATTTTATACATGCAGATGGAAATTGTGCCAGTGAAAATGATCTGTTTTTGTTGGATCAGTATTCACAGTAAAAATGTTCATGGTTTATGTTAACCATAGAAGAAGACATAAAAGCTGTTTCTGCCTTATTAGGTCAGCCAAAGTGCTTTGAAGTTAGATGGCACATTGATCCAGGATTTTGAATTTAAAATTCTTACTGTTGGATTATGCAACTGGATCCTTGAGGCCAGTTTGTTTTTAGTTAATCTTTCCACGTGAGATTTGCAGCCTCTAATGCCAAATAGTATATGTGACACATATGGAATAGCAGATATATGCTGCAGGCTACATACAGTTTCTAGAGTGGTCAGTCTTAATGGTCATTATTACAGTATAACTAAATAGTTTCATGCCACTATTTGTTTTTAATCTCTCCCCCTGATATTGAACTGCTGAATGGACAATTAGAAAAGGATATTAAATAAATCTATTATTCAATGTGTTACAGTCATTTCATTGTTATTTGATCTGGTGATAATAATTTAATAATCTATTATTTAGGATTCTCTATCACGTCCATTAGAACGTCCCAAAGGACTCCCCAAGATTTACTGTAAGATGTAGTGACTGTGTATTTGTAGGCAGTTTGTACTAAACAGTGACTGTAAGGGAAAAAGTCAAGCAGTGTTCCTGGTACTGATTGCTCTGCACTGACTCTTGATGGAAAGTGGATGTCAACTGAGTACAGGAGTTGGCTCGGCTGTGATGCTTAACACAGTCAAAAAACCTACTGATAATCATAGTCTACTTACATGTGTGAAGAGTGACTACTTGAGTGAGATACTAGAGGGATGTCATCATCACCCATGGGAACCATAGCCACATAAGAGTCAGGAGAGGAGGAGTAGGAGGGGGGGAAAAAATTGAGAGGGAAAATCAGTACCAGACAGAAAACACCACATCGTATGTGAAATGTTCTAGGCCATAGGAAAAATGTTACCTTGCTTAAATGGCACTATTTATTAAGCTATGATAGCATTAATGTCATTTGATGATATATTGCATCTGTGTAATATTAGCCAATCTTGTAGAGAGCCTTAAGGATGTTTCATTGAACATTTTAGCATGGCAGCAAGCCAGAATACATTTAGAGAAGTCCAGATGACAGTCCAGTAATGAGGTAGTGATTCATGACTGCTATTTTGTTATAAAATCCTCCTTGATGTAGGGAGAAATGCATACCCAGCTGTTTCAACTTTTATCAAATGGTATTCTGGAATCTGATCAGTAATAAACAGACTGCCTTTATCTCTGTTTACAGAGTGTTTTGTAATTTATAAATGTGTGTCCAAGCTACAATTTCTCAATTTATTCTTAAAATGCATTTAAGGAAACAAATTACTGCCTTTAGTTACAGAATTTATAAATGTTTTTTGACCAAAAATAATCAATGCATTTGTTCTACTAAATAAACCAATTCCTTGAAACAAAAGGAAATGTTCTTATCAGAAACTGCTTGTAATGCAGATAATTCAGAAGATCTCTTAACAACTGTTTTTTAAACAACTTATTTTAATAATTGTATTCACATTGATTATTTTGTGAAGTAAAAATGATTGCCAGATGCAAAATTACATTTTTATCTTATTCTTTTCAATCATTTACAGATACCTTAACAAAGAAAAATCAGTTTGTGAATTGCCAAATTAACTTTAATTTTATAATTTGCAATGTCAATAACAGTGCTCAAAAATGCCTTCTAGATAACAAGAAGCAATAGCTGAGATATATTTTTGGCCCTGGAACCATTGAGTGAATTAGTCTGTCCATTCACACTGAAGACGTACAAATCTATAATATCCTTTACAGATGGGTCCCAAATTGAAGGTCTGTGTTGTTTTATTCCTGGTCAGGAAATTAAGATTGATCATACCAGACACCAGGGAGTAGGTTGTACTATGAGAGCTCAGTGTGGTTAACGAGGATAGGGCATGGCTTGTGTTCCGCTCAACTGTGCACTTACAGGTTCCAAATATTATTGATTGTGAAGGTTACAGATTTCTGGGAGGTGGTGTCATGATCTGGGTTGTTGCACAGTTTCAGAGGTGCACAGGCTCGAGTGGCTACAGACCAGATGGAACAGGCTACCTTTACACCTGGGAAGAGGGATTTATACTTATGTGAGTAGGGCAAACTCATCACGTAGACATAATGAATGGAAATGTGATAGGTTGCTCTATCACAGGTCAAACAACTGCTGCAGAAAAGGACTTTTAATTACCCTTGCTCAATAGAACTGCTGTACAAAATGCATTAATGATAGGTTCTAGGCAGAAACGTGCAATGCAAACCAATGCAAAAAAACTGTTTAAGAATGTAATTAGTAGACTGTGTAATTAGTAGAAGGTGGGTTTTTACTAAAGTAAGATAATTATATCGTAAAGCTACTTTAATTTCGGTGTCTGCAATGCAGAAGTGGGACATTTTATAGTGAATATCCTAAAAATATATTGACATGAAACAGGGAATATTTAAGCACTAAGGTGCCATTTGATAATTGTAACGGTAAAATGGATTGTATTTTTTCTAATAAAAACATTGTGCCTTCCAGAATCAGATTTAAAAAATATTGTTGCCTTTCACGCGAAAGAAATAGACAGATGGCGTTTGATTAAAAAAAAATGTGTCTGCATTGTGGATTGCCTCACAAGTAGTAGTGGCAACTGCAGAGTGATGCTGAAGGTGACTGGTAGCAAAGCAGAAAATATTATCAGAAAAGTAGCATGGGGTTAAGTGGTTCATAGGCTGTAGATCAGAAACAGGGAGAGGGTGGTTGAATTGCCATTGCAAAGAATAATTTAAATGAGTCCAAAAGATTTCCACCGACATGTATACAGGAAGAGCATTTTGTTTTAGGAAATCAAGTCTTGATTTAGGAGCTAGATTTATTTTTGAAAAATCTGTGCAAACGTAAACTTTAAGACAAAATGGTCTTACAGTCTAAAATGAAATGGATTTTTTGGCCTTAGCTGGTTTGGTATCTGACTTCTCCCAGTAAGCAGGTCTTCTCCCAGTAAGTAGACTGTGTCAGTACATATGAGAAACGTATTGTTGAAATGTACCCCAAAATAGAAAAGGGATTCAAAAAAAAAAGAATAGCCCAAAGAGTTGATACAAAAAAAATCAATGTGTTGGTGTAATTAAGTGGTGTCCAATCTTTCTGGTCGGCCAACAAAATAATCATAGAAATAATAAACAAAGTATTGTTTGGCTTTCAATTTATGCCATAAATCTAGAAATATTCAATCAAGAAACATTTATTTTGTTGGCCAACAAAAGAGGTTTAGTCTTAATTTAGGAGCCAGATTTAGGAACCAAGGACGTTGGCCAGCACTGGTGTAGATGATGTTTGTAAAGACCACTAGAAATGTTATTTAAGGAAGATAATGTAACTGTTTAGCCAGTCTCAATGGGCAGATGTTTCCAAGGTTGCTCTTAAACATTGTAAAGCTGTCACAGTAAATGTTGACTTTAGAGAGCGTAGATGACATTGGCAAATGTAATGGTGCGAAGCTTTTTTCTTTTGAAGTCATTAACGTGAAAAAAACAAATGAATTTCATTAATGAATGCTGTGCTTTGTTTGTCCTCCACAATTCCTGGGTAAGGTCAGTGTATCAAGTATTAAAGATTTTAAGCTTAAGAGTTTTTACCTTGGAACATATTAGGCACTCTTCCCTCACCATATATAGGACATATCCATTTGGTTCTTTTCTGTTGATAATGAAATATATACCAATTTCTTAATGAGCACAAGATGAAGTATTGTTTGGCTGTTAAATTGGTATTTTTTTACTTAGACTCCCTTTCTGCTAAAACCACAGCATTGAATTCAGGAAAAACAGGTAAACTGTATTGATGTGAAATGAGAGTGATTTTGGAAGCGCTGTATTTGTGTGGATAGCTGGCAAATTAATATTGGATGTTTTTCTATGATGTTGTTTTGACTTCCTGGCTTGAATTTTATTTAGCTCTTATAGTCAAACTCCTTGCAACTGAGTGGCCAAATAGGAAAAATAAGAGAAACTTGGGTGGACAATGGTGAGAGAAACTGAAGACCTTTCTCCTTTATAGTAGTATTGGAGTCTGGAGAGCACTGTTCTTTACTGCTCCAGTGTTGTCTAGTTTCATTATTGATGTGTGGATGCTGTAGACTGCTTTCTGACTGTTAACAAAAGAGACAGAAAACAGCACATGCTAAAACATGTTATGTACGTAGCATTTATTAAAAAATCATCATTTGCCAGACATAATACAGTATCTTTAAAATGAGTGACTTCACTCAAATGTTTACGTGATCTAAAAATAGGAAAGTAAATATAATTTTTTGCCACATCTCCAGTGAGTTGGTGCTTTCTTTAATTTTGAATGATATCCTAAAGTGCAGAGTTCCTTTGTCGTGCAATAAAATAAGCATTCCACTTAAATTTGTCACTGTTTGTCACGCTGACTCCCAACGCCACATTAATCAAATAAATGTGATTACTGCTAAGGTAGTCATTAGGCATATGTCACACTGCATGTGAAGTCAGAAGTAAATTGCTTTCTGTAATTGCATGAGCTCACTGGGTTAAATCATTCTAAATGCATCATAACATTTTGGGTTTTCTTTGCAGCGCATAAGCCTGGTTTCACAAAATCTGCAACATCATATTCTGTAAACGGGGTCTATTATGCCATATTCAAAACAAGTTTGTAAATAGGAAAGTAATACCAATCTCAGTTTGGCTTTGATCAAGTTAGCAAGTGAGTGGAGTGACACTTGCAACAAATCTAGGATTGGCTACTTACATGTCCTTGTGGAAATATCACAAATGAAATCACTGTGTATCCCAACGGCAGCAAGAATATCTTATCAGGACAATATTTCAATACAGTGTCCTATTCAGTAATCATTATTTTTTGTGTAAATCTTAAATCCTTAAAGTTGACTACAATGCTCCTACTTCTTAACTTGCATACTTTGTTCTAAATGAATAATTTTCAATATGAATGCCCGAAAGTCGTTTTCCAATTTCTAAAATATTGAAATATAGGTGTCACATATTTCTGCTGATCAGTAAAGATTTGGTCCCTGGATAGAGAGATTCAATTTGCCTGGAAGATTTTTGTATGTGCGCTCTTCAATTAGACAGTCAAAAGTGCAGCAAAATAAGAAGAGTTTCTTCTCTGCACCCAGCACTCAACTTATAATAATAATAATAAATCACTATTAGAAGTACACAGCAAAATCAGTAAATTCTCACATCAGCAGCATTAACTCTTAACAAGGTCACATTCTCAACACTTTTCTCACCTCATCTTTAGTATAATTATTTGTATGTAATTTCAGGAAAGAGACTAATGAGTCAAAAGCAAATTCTACCTTTGAGAATTTTTATATTTGTGGAATTTTTATGACGAATTTAGTGTTGTGTTTTTCAAATGTCTTTTTCATTTGTTAGAGAAAATTGTTTGCATAGACTCTGGGTAATCATTTCAACATTGACAGAGAGTAATCAGAATTGTGGAAAGTATCTATCTTCTTTATTATTATTATTATCACAAAACTCTTTTTGGTACATTACTGTTTGATGGAGGAGGCTGTTTTTAACAGGTTTACCAGAGCCAAAGAGAGATCACATTTTCAAAGGCTTAACCATGGAAAATGGCTTCTACACATCCAAAGACTTCCTGCCCCTTGTTGCCAAAGCCAGCAAAGCAGGTAGATGTTTTAGTTTTGCCTCCTCTTCTGCTAAAGTCTGTAAAACGTGATTTCTGGTTGATTTCTCGCCGTTCTTTTTATGAAAATCTTTTCTACTGAATTGTAATTATTGTATACTCTTAAACCAATTGGATCACGAAAAACGTTAGTCTAACACCATCATCGGTCCTCAAAAAATTAGGATTGACTCGGGCGCTACACTGTACAGTAAATCCTGTGAAGGCGCTGTATCAAGTCCGACAATTACTTTATTATAAGATAACGCTGCTGTGTTTTTCAGGAATGTGTGCTTGTAACTCCAGACTGCCAACACTCCGAGGCACAGTGATTGTACTTGGTGCTGGAGACACTGCCTTCGACTGTGCAACGTCTGCGTTACGCTGTGGAGCTCACCGGGTGTTTGTGGTTTTCAGAAAAGGATTTACCAATATCAGGGCGGTCCCAGAGGAGGTAAAACTCAACAAGCTTAAATACACAGGATTTAATACAATGAGGGTTGCCAGATGGAGCAGAGATTGCAAGGTTTCAATTTATTAAGTTGCACTCCCTGTCACTCAATATCTCAAACTCAGGGCTGAACAATTTATCCATTGTTTATATAACAGATGTATTGTAGGTTTACTTCCAGTGATATTTCCTTTTCCATCATTTAGGTGGTATTGTTGGACAGTCTTTAAGTGTGTACTTTCTGATAGCATGTTTACTTAATTCACCAATCCATTCCGTATTCCTGTGAGTGACCGAAAAACTGTAATGGTCATAAAATGGAGTATTTTTACATTTAATTTAGCAAGCAAGAACTATATAAATTTAAATAAAAACAAATTATGGGTTATTAAACCCCAACAGCATGTTTTAATAAAATGGGTGCTGCATAATGTAGAATTCTTCGAAAACTGTGACTTCCAGCTCTTTTTCTCTGTTTGATCAATTCTAACTAGTCTGATGCTTGCAACTCTTTATTTTAATAGTTCAGTAACAGAGAGGATAATCATGCAGGAGATTTAAGAGCGAGAATAGATAGATACTTTAGGAGTTAAAAAAAATACTACGGATGTGGCAATGAGACGGGATAGGGTGAGGCTGAAGTAGGCGGATAATTATGCATAACCTACTCCTGTTCCTTTTGTCCTGTGTTCCTAAGGTGGAGCCCTAAACCGTACACATCGGGTGGATTACTTTGCCCTCTCCTAGAGTGCTGGAAGTGGTGTGAACAGCCAAATGATTCCTAGTGGGAAGCTAAATTTATATTTCCCACTTCAGCTTGCTCTTGCTGGGAAACGAGGGCAGTTCTGCACATGTGCATCATTGTTACTAATTGCAAACTGAATTGTGCAGGAAATTCAGAGCACTTCAATTTCCAATTGACAGTAAAAATGGGCTATAAGATTGAAATAGCCTGTGCAAAGCAGATGGCCAGTGATGAACAGTGAAAATGTAGAGACAGATACATTCTCTGGATTTTGTTAATTACCTTTGGGGTTAAGGGAATGTTTATGCAAACTTTCTTTCAGGAGATTGCTGTACATGGGGCAGATTCTATGATCGGGATTGATTGTACATGCTCTGTGGGAGTAGTGAGTAATGAGTCAAATGGCCGTCTTCTCCATCCTTTCTAGTGTGTGTGTACATAGTTATATAACGCTGCCACCATTTTTAACTTTCCTTTTAATAGTTACCACACGAATCTCCAAGAACTCAAAAAGTGGCCATAAACCAAAGAGGACCTGCGCAAAACAATCACAATCCATTAATAATAGGCTCACAGTTGTCGGCTGATATTAGAAAAGAATGCAGTCATAGCAGCATGAAAGCGATACAGCTACTACTTCAAAATGGAGTTCATGGAATGGCTTGTTGTTTTATGTTGACAGTAAATGTAGAGTAAGCAACAACAAAAACACAGAACGAGAATATCCAAGCAATTCCTAAGCTTGGGAGAAGCACATTTTTAAATAACCTGTTCACGTTCCCCATTTCGATTCAGGCTTCATACTTTTATGTTCTTATGGGTATAATAAAAGCAACATTGACTGCAGTTCTAGAAGGTGAGAGAAATGGCTTTGAGTATCAAATTATGCATTCCAATATTGGCACTGGCCACTGAGAGTGTGACTTTTCGATCCTCTGTCTCAATAGTCTTCTGACGTACCTTTCGACTAAACTTAAATAATTTAAAAGATTTACAGATTTTTTAAAATATAAGTACACCATTGATTTAAGCCCCCACTCATCACAGCCAGTGCTGGGGGAAGGAATAGTGTGCCGGCTGGATGCCAGCCCTGTCTCAGTGTCCTGGTACTTGGTGCTGGTGGAGTTTCGCTGTGCTCCTTATTGTAAGTGGGTACTCTGGGAACAGTCAGCGGCAATATAAAGAAGAGCCAGATCTGGAATAAAAACAGAAACGCAGTAACCTATGTTGTTGTTTCAGATGTTGAGCACCTACTGTGTTGACTTGGCTTGTCTGTTTTTATTTCATACAATCAGTAGATTCTGATACATTACGTTAATTCATTAATAAATAAGTAAATCAATAATTAATCAAAAATAAATAAATGCACTGGAACTCTGTTGAGAATTTAGACCTTTGTTTAACAATACACAGAGAGTGGTGGTAAATGTACATTATCTAAAGGCAATGCTTCAGGCATCCTTTGCTGTTTGAGCTTTCTCCCCCTCCCTTTTCCCCCTTGCTGCGTTCAGTGCTTTCTGTTCTCTTCCATTTTAAAAAAAAATCAGCATCTGTGCTGAGATAGGTGTTGCCTTTATTTGGGCTTATTTATGAGTTTCACACAATGCTGTAGTAAATTCAGCTACCTGTAGTGAAAACATTTTTGTACACTTAATTCTAAGGACGTCCACAGAAAAATATTACACTTGTTGATTATCAAGAGTAGTGTACCTTGAAGCAGTCTCCTTATAATTGGATATAAAATGTCATTACTTTAATTTCATTTTTTAACATTCCTAATCCCTGACTGCTTAGAGCATTGGGACGTTCTCCCCACGTGAATAATAAATAAATATGATATAGATATAAATATATGGCATTTTATAATTTTGTATTGTATTTAAACCAGTAGCTAAAATTAAAGCCCATCAGATAACTAAAACATTTTGTGGACTTTGCCATGTGTTTTCTGCCTTTAAGTACTTACCTATAGGCAAAAATAACACAACAAGAATATCCAAGCAATTCTTAAGCTTGGGAGAAGCACATTTTCAAATAACCTGTTCACGTTCCCTGTTTGGATTCACACTTCATACTTTTATGTTCTTACGGGTTTAACAAAAGCAACATTGACCAGTTCTAGAAGGAAAGTTATAGGAAAAGGTTATAAACAGGTCATTCTTAAAACATTGTTGATTTAACTATAGATTTCACTGTAAGTTAGCGTAACTACTATTGAATTCATGATGTGCACGATATCATTGTCACTTCATGAGCTGAGTATCTATTTGCCCCAGGTTTTCGTTGTTGCTTGCCATTAGTACTCATTGGTCACTGACTGTCCAGCGCTTTGGGACATCCTCCTGATGTGAGAGCCGCCACACAGATGTAATTTGTTGTTGTTGTTGGTCTCCCTTTTGCCACATTTCACCATCCTGCTTTCCTCTAACCTTCTTTTAGATGGAGTTGGCAAAAGAAGAGAAATGCGAGTTTCTCCCTTTCCTGTCTCCAAGGAAGGTGATCCTGAAGTGTCAGCGCATTGCTGCAGTGGAGTTTGTTCGCACGGAGCAGAATGATCTTGGAGACTGGATTGAAGATCAAGAGCAAATTGTTCACTTAAAAGCAGATTTTGTCATCAGTGCATTTGGCTCCATTCTCAGTGACCCAGCAGGTGAGGACTTGTGAGTTGATACTTTATAGATTAAGTGAAAGTGTTGAAGTCGCTCGTGCACTTACAGTAAAATAATAATAATCCTTGCATTTGATATAAAGCCTCATCGTGTCTTTGAGACGTCTCAAAGCGCTTTGCAGAATATACTGTAAAGTGAATCAACTATATTTTGTGGGCGAAATGCGCTTGTTTGAGCGACCAAATTATTTCTATTTATTTTGAAGGGTTTATTACCCGTGAAAAAGCATTCCGCCAATCAACTAACAACCGGGTTCCTACTTACTGCGAGATAAACAGAGGCGTGCGGAGTAAGGAAACTTGCCCAACGTTTCACGCCGCGGGGAATCGAACCCAGGTCCTGCCGCTTGCGTGAGTGCTCTAACCACAGAGCTACACAACTGCCATTTCAAGGTTCAATAAACTAGCTACCTCCCAACATGTTAATTTTCACACTACATTCACTTGGAATTTATAGGATTATTTTAAGCATTACGTTGAAGGCAGATCGTCGTTTTTTAAAAAAAAAACCTAATGAGAATTCACAGCCATGGTTTTATCTTTAAAAAGATCCATCGATCTGAGTGCAAGTGACGTTTGACTCAGGTTGTGCAGATAGAATCCTCCCATTTACACTCGCCACATAACTGATGTTATACTCCTGGAAAAATAGTACACAGGCGTTCACCTACAGAATACAGTGACTCCACTTTACAGTACATCATCTGAAGCACTTTGAGACGCCCTTCAACGTAAAAGGTACTGTACCAAATGTGAGGATTATTATTAATAGCGGTCATAAATAAAGGTCAAATAGTCTACTGACTAAAACAATATGCACTTGATTTTAATCAACTATTTCTGCAGGGAGGAATCTGTGACAACTGGTTTCAAAAGCTTTTTCTGAGGCTTTTTTTTCCCAAGGACTAAAACTGCTAAAATTTAGGAAAACCTTTGGAGACTGGTATATCATTGCTGTTAAAAAAAATGTAAAAAAAATTCCAAAGGCATTGTTTAGAGGTTTTTAAATGAGAAAACGTTTAGCATTGTTTTTTGAATTTTCCTTAATGACCTTCTGAATGATTGGACAACATCCCCATGTGAATCACAGTTGAAAAATTGCTTCACTGAAGCTCTGCTTATCTTTATTTGCCAGCTTTCTCTAATGGGCGATGTGATACAGATTACTCTGCTAAAGAAATGTCAGTTGCGTGATTGGTTGACAGACCATAATAAAACCGTGATAATGTTGCACTTTAGTGTAATAAAAATCTAATTGTACAATTTCATTTTTCCAACCGGGATCTAATAATCACGACAAAAATTGCAATATGTAGGAGTACGTAGAGGCTCACTGTAAGCTTTGATTGTAAAGCTTTACACAGGTACCTTTGTACGTGAGCAGCTTCCAATCATACACACAAATGGTGACATTTTGGGGTTTAGTAAGATGAAAGGTGTCAATTTGCAGTAAAATCATCTGTATACTGAGTATCAAAAATTTACATTAATGAGCTGCTAAGGCTGAAATTACAGAGACTTCCTGAAATTGGTTAAACATCACAGCCATTAAACTGTTTACTGAAGCATTACAGATATACTGCATCTAATGAGTATTTCTGCTGTTTAAACAAGTGCAAATTGAACAGGCATTACATGGCTGTATAATTAGTTATAACAATGAAATACACATAGTTTAAAAAAAAATCCTTTATTTTTATCTACTTTAAATGCCTTTAAAAATGACGGACATGGAAAATAGTTACTTTGGAATGTTATTTAACAGTAAAGATAACTCGTTTTGTTTTATTCCTTGTCTCTCGCAAGAGTCCCTTGCTCCCTCTGTTTAACCTCTGCTGCTGTGAATCTCTAAAAACAGATTACTATCAAGCAAACATATGTGGAACAGACTCACAACAAAAGCAGTTGATGCTGAATTGATTTACTCCTTCAGAAAGCACTGTATAAATAAGTACCTGCTTGAGAACATTGTTTGGGGATATGGGGATAGCTGCAAATGGAGATGAACAAATAGTCTACAGGGTACAATGATTTCTGTGTCGTGGTTGGGAGGGGATGGGCAAGTGGGTGTTGTCTAGAGGAAAGGAAGCTATGTTTGAATAGCGGAGATGTAGGGACATAAGATTAGTATGAAATGGTAAAGCTCAGGGAATCTCTCTACAGAGCTCACCTTCCCTTTCCAGGGCACAGTTGAGATGGAATTTCGCAGCATACACATAGAAATTGTGTTTCTATCTATTTTAATTCCCATTAGTCAGTTAATTTTGAATGTGCAGAGTGTTCTTTTCGGATTCGCGAAGACATAAAGCAGCACCATTTTTCACTCAATACGTTGTGCGAGTCCCTCCAAGTGAAGTTCTCTTACCTGATTGCAATGTAGATTTTATTTCTGTGCCACTTATCACCGGAGATTTGCTTCTAAATCACGGTCACAGTTTAGGGATAAATGTAAAGATCTCATTGTCTTTACAGCATATTTGTTCCAGTTAATGATATCGTCAGTAGCGCTGAAATGTAAGCGCATCAGTTGTCTGTGCAGGTTTTACTTTTGCAGCTTCATTTTATAAATTGTGTAGTGTTAAGCAAGTCTTTTTGTCACTTCCTTCAAATATTCATTTTTGTGTCCATTTCCCTCCAGCCACTAGCTTTTTATATTACACTATGTTAAGATCTAATCATTGTGTTTTTTTTGTTTAATTCCTTTGTAATTCGATAACAGTAGTTAATTGGCATATAAGTTTGTGGATAGTCAATGTTTCAGTGATAAAAACTTTCCGGATCAAAAGAAATTGTGATGGCAGATTACCTTACTTGCAGCTTGAAGGTGCTTTCAGGCTGAAAACAGGTTGAAAAACATCTGTATGAAGTTGCCCCACTAGAGAAAAGATAAAATCCTATTAAAATCTTTCTCCTCCTCCATCTCCTCCTCTGCTGATGGAGTTAGTAATCTGTATCTGTTTGTGTGTTATTCATGGCCCCAGAGTGAGTTCTTAACCTGAACTGGATTTGATATGAGAAGATAAGCATTCTTGGCTCCAAGGAAAGGTGCGTTATAAGTAATTCAAGGCTCATTGGTGAGATTTGAAGCTTTAGTCATGTTCTGAAGCACTGTATACCAAAGTCCTAACTAGTCAGAGATTCTAGCTTCACACTTGCCATTATGCTTGCCATTATTTACACGTGGTTGCCATTATTTTCTTATCTTGCACAATAGTACAAGCTGAAATACTTTGTTTCTTCTTTGGTTCATCTTAACAGGACAAAGTATGATCCATATTTTCTATTGCTGAACAATGTTCAGATAAAGTAGGAATGATGGAATGGAATTGAGGCAAAATCCATATTGGCTTTCAGTACGGAGCTTAGACAGATACCTTAACAAAAAGCTGCAGGAGGATGGCGAAAGGGCAGGGTAAGTGGGACTGAAGAGATTGTGCTTGTGGGAGTTAGCACAATATAATGAGCTGAATGACCACCTTCTGTCCTGTAAATTTCTGTAGTTTTATGGTCTGTCAGATGTGCCTTCTGTTACGTAAAAACCAATCTGTTTATATATGTTTTCAGCAAATAAAAGTTATTAGACTTTTTGAATATGAGCCACATAAATAATTGAAGTCCCATGGAATATTTGAAATGAATATATGAACTTCTGAATGGAGTTGACTCAATTAATTCAGATGTTACTCTCAGTTCGCTGCAGTATAAAGTATTGTTAAAATAATTGAAATCCGGACTATGATATGAAACTGTCTTCAAAAGAGAAATTCACGGCCTAATTAAAAATATATATATTGGAAGGTTTGACGTGGCTTTCAATTTGAGGCTTCTGAACAAAAATAATAATGAAAAAAATTAAAAATGTGTCCTTGGGGTTTGCAGTCAAAGCAATTAGCCAGGGAATTGATGTATTAAGAGCACTTAAAATACGCTTTTTGACATTTTTATTCGGTCAGAAAACCACCATACGATTTTCATGGACGAATTTGTTTGTTTCCAGGAAATAGTCTATCAAAAGCACCAAAAGGGACAACTGTTTTTAAAAGTGGATTTTGCAAGGCCGTTTGTGACATGTCAGTTCCGTATGTCACAAATTCGCCTTTTGATGTTTAGATCCTACTGAAAAACAATTGAACTTTAAATGTTCACGCTGACAAAGGACTTGGAAAATTACAAGTCAGAGACTAGCCCTGACGAACTGGATCCAGCCTCACAAATGCTTCACTTGTTGCAGATCCCTAAGATAAAGTTTTCAAGTCCAGGGTGGAGAAATCTCTTTCAAACTCTCTCGTATGTTCTCTGCTAGTCCAACAGCTGGAGGTTAGGGGGAAATGCATCAGTAAGGCAGTCATTGTGTTTCAAGGTCAACCACCAATAAAGCAGCTTTTATATCTCATGGACAGCACGTTTTTGATCTGACGCTCGATCTGACACTTGACTATTCGGGGTGGAGAATCGTTCTGCCTGTATACCATCATTCATGGTTTACAACATCGTGTCATTTTTGCAGAGGAAAATAAAAAATTACAATTTTGCTGGAAAACACATTGCAAATTGGGAGTTTTCTCTCTGCAATCCGTCTTTTCATTTGCAATGCATTGCAATCCCAATCCCAGTTTCATTTTCTGTATCAGCTATGCACTTTATTTCTCTCAAAGACAATAGCAACTTGGATTGATGTAGTTCCCTTCAGGCAGAGTACCGTCTTGGAATCCAGTACCTGCAGAAGGTATCACGCATCAGGTAACTGCAGAAACTGCTACAGGTATTTGCGAATCTTACAAATTAGACCCCAGTGTTCAATATCCATCCACTTTAATACCTAGCTCTCCGTTACACCACAATTTTTATGAATATCATTTGACTTGTGTTTTAAATATACTTTGTCTTATACTGTGTCCATCTCAATCATTAATGTTTCATCTTGTTTTGAATCCAGTCTGACTGTAAGGGTCCAATGTAAAATAGGCTTGTGGTAATATTAATCCAGTTCTTGGTGACCTTAGGCTCGCAGAATTAAGAATTACCCACAACAGGCAATTGCATTTGAGGTTGGCTGCTGCAGGAATTGGAAAAATTAATTCTGGTTTCAGTAGGGGTGCTCTTAAAGGGCTTGCTTCCAGGCTCATTATTGAAGCAGAGAAGAAAGAAATCAAATCTGGATCTGTAAGGTTTTCAAATTGCTCGGAGACTTGTTCCTGCTGAGACCCTGTGCTTTAATTCAGGCTCAGCAATCAGGCTCATGTGGATGGATTGAATGGAATTGGGCCATTTATACTGCTGGGTGGCTCCATACGACATACATGGGAAGATTCCACCTGGGTCTCTCGATTTATTCTGTTTAAAGAGCATCCAGAATTTGGTAAATTCTTAACTACAGCAGCCGTCATTTTGAAGTTGGTTTTAAGCAAATATTTTTGGGCCGCTACAGAAAACCGTCTTCGAAGTTAAAACTGATTTCAACTGAATTAAACACTCTGAGACGCTGTCTGGCGTGAAGGGCGCTATATAAATACAAGTTGTTGTTGTGGAATTCATAAATGTGGGGGAAAATGCTTGATTTTACACAGTTCTTGTATTAAGAAAACATCAATTCATTTTCATTGCACAGTATGTTCTATTCTAACTTTACGATGGGATATAAATCACATGCATAGTGTTTTAATGTTTTTTTTTAGCCCTTAGAGTTAAACAAAACACTAGTGCATTGATTAGAATCTGGATCCAGTCCTGCACTATATATTTACATTAACTTTCTTGTCCTACATTCAGACTTTTACAGTTTATGATTTACAGATTTGGGCATTTTCATATCCAAATGACTATTCACAATGTTTCCATCGACACATTTCTCTAACTTACTCTTCCTACTACTCTACCTTACTCTTCCAAGCTTCACTGATGAGAAGAGTGTGCTGGCCTGTGCCTTATGTAAACTAACTGTTACAGTTTTAATCAAGTGTAAATGCTGTCAGTCAATCTACAGTTCATATTTACTGGTATTGATTTCTGAATAAAGAGGCAAGACATCATCATCTTTTGTCTGACTACCCTCAGAAATTTATTTTTGGTCTATTATCAACATGGAGTTCAAGTTATTTGTATTCATGTGTTGCATTTTTGCATTAGATCTTCATCATCTGTTGCGACAATTTACATTGTGTTATCAGGCTCCAGCGAACCTATGTTTGATTTTGTTTGTAATTAAATATATTTGTGTTCAATCTATTTGTGTTTAATCTACAAAATTGCTCTTGTCCTGATCCTGACTTGGTATTTTACAACCTGTACCAGAAATATAAATTGTATTGCCTATTTACCAAATGGATTTGATGATGATTCACTTATGGTTATGAACTAACTTACCTTATGAACTAATTAACTGATTAAATACCCTGACACCATTTGCTTCTTTATGAAAATTGGAACTGAGCCTTTTGCATTCTTCCTTCCATTGCCCTGAAGATGGGAAGGTGGAGGTTGTCAGTTTCTGATTCAGGAGTGTCTCTGCTATTTTTCCCTCAGCCTCTCCCCAGATAACCCAATTACAAAAGAGACAGATTAAGTGTGAATGTCAATAAAACCTGGGATTTGAACACTACCTAAGATTTCAACACTCTCAACACTATATCTGCTTGCTCTTTCACTCTGGTAAATTGCATGTGAGGCACAGTTTAGCTGAGTACAAGGAAAGCTAAGTCATATGTGTTTATAAGCAGTACTATTTAGATCAGTTGGTGTCCTCCCTTTCATGGAAATATGCATTGAGTACTAATAGGTCTCTTGATAACTTCTCAGATTGGTTCTGTAAACTCACTTATTCTAAATTTTAGCAGGAGATCCAATGTTTGTCAACTGAACTTGTTCTGTTTCTGTATTTCGTTTTGTCTTTATAATAGTGAAGGAGGCTGTTGCCAGCATTAAGTTCAACAGATGGGGGTTCCCAGAGATTGATTCAGAGACCATGCAGGCCAGTGAGCCATGGGTATTCGCAGGTGGTGACATTGCTGGTTTGGCCAACACAACCGTCGAGTCTGTGAATGATGGGAAACAGGCTTCCTGGCACATTCACAAATATTTACAGGTCAGTAAGGCTCATCAGTTACCTGCTGAGTAATTGTACTTACGTGTCCTTTCATTGCTTACTGGCATCTCAGAATACTTCATGTGTTCATTGTTTTAATTGCCTCCGACAGAAGAACTTGCACTGTTTGACAAAATTCTGTTGACTTACATCTATTTTTGTTGCTTTTTAATAATTAAAAAGCCTTGCTTCATTAGAAGCCAAGTTTTCGCCACCTGGGTATATTTTGTTCAAAAATATTTTGTTGGTGAGAGTGGTTAAACCAGCAGTCTGTTTAATTCATTAAACGATATGTCACAGATAAATAAATGCTTATGAGGTTTTTGTAAGTTAAACTTGCCAACAAAGGTTCAGTAGCAAAAGAAAAGCATGCAGAACCTCACATTAGAACAAAAGACTTAATGAGTGAGAATCTTGCTGTATCCTAGTTCTAATAATACCTTGCCCTAATAGACACTCTTCCTGTTTGAGCCTGCACTGTGAGTGTTAATTGAATATTTGACCATGGAGGCAGCCACAGTAAACCCAGACTTCTTATAACCTGATGTCCATATCCACGTAACTCGATGTTGTTGGCTCAGTTTGGTTTGGATACTCTTTAGCCTGGTGATGGGTTTCTGCATGTGTTAGACATCCAGCTGACCCACCAAAAAAGCCTAGGGTCATTGAAGTCAGTTGTAGTCTCTACGCTCACTGCGACTCCAGATGAACTAACTCAGGACAGACCAAGGAATGACACTGGGTCCCTGCATTTGTATGTTACTTAGTGCTACATCCTGTAGCTCAGTGGTTAGAGTACTCGCCTTGCAAGCGAGACACCTGGGTTCAATTCCAGGCAGGGCGAAACCTTGGGCCAGTTTCCTTACTCCACACGCCTAATAAATAATCCCTCCAAAACAAAGCAATAATAAATTTGTCATTTTCAATCCACGACTGTTTGTGGGACACTGCTGTGCGCAATTGGCTGCCTCGTTTCGCCCACAAATATACAGTCAATTTACTTTACAGTCTATGCTGTGAAGCGCTTTGAGACGTCGAGAAGATGTGAAAAGCGCTATATCAAATGCAAGGATTATTTATTATACCCACCAATAGATAAGATCTCCTTACAATTGGCTGCACAACACCAAGCTGCGTAAGTTAAGTGAACCATTCTTAAGCTGGCGAAGCTTCAGCTCAGCCACGCACCAGAAAACAGATTGCAATATGTGGTTCTCGAACCCAACAATACTCCAGTATAAAAGTGCACGGATAAGTTAACGTACAGCATGACTTTCATTACTGCTACACTAGCCCCTGATCCTGTACAATTTAATACTGTTGGAAATGTATATTGTCAGGGACACCTCATTTTGGGAATATTTTCAGGAAGATTGAGCCACCCCACCCCACCCCCGACCTCCATTTTTAGTCAGATCATTTTAAAAATGGAAATCCAGTCACTGCTCAAGGAGAAGGGCGTTATTGCACTCCACTTGTCATCACAGGAGGTATTAATCTGACTCCAACATCTTACAGTCCCACGGGGGAGAAATATTTAAATAAAATCATTTATTTTAATATTACATTATTCATATCTGTTAAACAGAATACACAGCGGGGAACTTAGTCACTGCTGAGTTATGAGGTCTTCCTCAGAAATGGCACCATCTAGATAATTTACTATTCCTTATTGTATCTTCTCTTTAACTGTGGAATTGCTGCTGCAGTCAATTTTCATTAACGCAATTCAACACGTGAATTGCTCCATGTGTGCTACATACCGTCAGAACACATAGTGTGTATTTTAAGCAGCGTGTTGGGAATTGGAAACAAATTGCCATAGCGTTAGAAAAAAAACCTCCTAAACCAAAGTAATAACATGACTTCTGGTTCGGTCTCTCGGCAGGTGGTATGTAAAGATACCAGAATTTTCAGTGTTCTGGCTTGATGGTATTCACCACTGTATCAATGTCCAAAGTGCCTCTATCTAGACATGTTAGAATATTGCCCTTAGGCTACTTAAGTTAGTTTGCACTGCAAGTTCCCTATCTCCTTGGTATCATACTGGCTATTACAGTCTAGTTGCTAGAAAATTTAAATTTGGATAATATGATTTTGATTTATTTCATTTAAATTGTATTATTAGTTAACGATGTTTGTAAATTATTAAATGTTATGGTGTTCCCAATGGTAAAATTCCATATACTTTACTATCCTAGACATATTCAAATAGAATGCAGAATATTAACATGATCAGTTTGTATTCCCTATTGTATCAAGCATTCATACCACTCTCTCTGCAGTAATATCTATATTATATTTAGGGCTTAATGATAAAATAATAATAATCCTTGTATTTAATATAGGAGATTTCGCATCAGGAGAATTCTCAAAGTGCTTCATGTGTTATATTTGAAAGTGTGATGGATGTGTATTCAAAAAGAGAGGGAAATTCTCCCTCTATCCTGGCCAACAATCCTCCAGACCAAATTGATCATTCATTTTCTGGCTCTTTGTGGGACACTGCTGCGTTCAAATTGGCTGCTATGATCGCCTACAAAATATACAGTGACTACACATTACAGTTCATCCTATGAAATGCTTTGACACACCTTCCAAAGTGAAAGTTCTGTATCAAATGCAAGGGCTATTATTATATTATTATTTACATTTTAATTCAAAGCTTTTGCTTATTTTGAAAGCCGCAAAACACACATTGAGTACTTGAAGGGATGAAGTCACCGCTGCCAAGCATAGTTTGAGTCAATTGCCCTTTTTCATTCTGTAACAATACCAAGTTTTATTGTTGCAGGTGAGAAGTAAATGCAAAATTTCTGGCCATGTTATGCATCATTTGATATTATGTAAGCGAGTATTTTTGTTCCTTTTTCTTTAGAAGTAATAATAATTTGATCACTCAATCCACAACTGTTTGTAGGACACTGCTATGCATAATTGGCTGCTGCGTTTTGCTCACAAAATATACAGTTAAATCACTTTACAGTATATTCCTTGAAGCGCTTTGAAACGTCTCAAAGCTGTGATAAGGTGCTATATCAAATGCAAGGATTATTATTATTATAATGGTTGTTTACAGTTCATATCAGTTGGCTAAATCACACAATTATGAAGCGTTGGCTGCAAAGGACAGTAATATTATAAAGTCTTATTAGATTGCTGCTGTAATTATTTGGGTAGATCGCAAGTGGGGCTGCCAGCATTAGTTAGGTCTGTACCCAAGATGATGGGTTAATGAATATTTAAATGTTAACATAACAGTTATATGAAGCTTGATCCTGTCTATAGAAGATTAATTGGAAATCTCCAAACAAACAAGGGATTGTGCGTTACATTTCTGCTCTTTCTTTGCCAACTTTCAAAATCTCATAACCCTGTGTAGGTTTTCTTTAAGAATGAAAATACATTGCTTACACAGCTTCACCTGTAAACAGTGTCAGCTTTCTGTTTATTTTGCATTGTATTTGCATCAATGACGTGCATTATCTCAAAGTACTGGAGAATTATTGTCATATGACCATAAAAACAAGTCTAACTACAGGCACGAATACTAAAAAATATTGAGGTCTGTGCCAAACCTCTTTATTTGTGTTCAAATCAAAACATCTAAATAAATATAAATTGTATTGAATTGCACCATTGTATAAAATATTATAATAAATAATAATCCTTACATTTGGTGTAGCGCCTTTCATGTCAGGAGAACATCTCAAAGCGTATCACAGTCAAGTGGAAGTGGTTTGTCAAGTGGTGTGACTATGTATGATAGGCATATATGGCAGCCAATTTGAACACAATAATGTTCTACGAACATCCATGAAGTGAATGACCAATTTGACCAGGACAGTGGGAGAAACTCCCTTCTCTTTTCAAATAGTGCCATGGGATGTTTAATGTCCACCTGAACAGGCAGATGGGTTCTCGGTTTTTAACGTCTCACCTGAAGAACACGTGAATAATGCCATTTGACTGGCAAAAAAAAGGATCCCCAAATGATCTTCTTGTTTTTTAAATTTGTCTAATTTCTTTTTCAACTTCCAGTCTTTACATGGCTATCTCATTCTTGAGAAGCCTGAGCTACCTCTCTTTTACACGCCTATCGATCTCGTGGACATCAGTGTAGAGGTGGCTGGATTAAAATTTTCAAATCCTTTTGGCCTTGCCAGTGCAGCTCCAACAACCAACGCAGCAATGATTCGAAGATCCTTCGAGGCAGGTTGGGCCTTTGCATTGACAAAGACGTTTTCCTTGGATAAGGTACGTGCACAAAACTTAACAGTAGATTGTCAATCCACAGTGTATGTGTTTCCCCGCACCAGCTACGGCAATTAATTAGTCTAACATTGAGAACATGTTATCAAATAGTCTTTATAATTTAACGTTTGTTACTTCCATCTGCTGCATTTTCTGTTTTGCATTCCAATTGCTGCCACCTCGTGAATACAAGTAACGCCACCACACAAATCCTTCAAAAGACGATGGTGATTCACAAAGAGTGAGGAGAGCAGACATTGTTTTCAATTATTTTGCTATTTAGTCTTCAACAGTGGCTTCGCTTATGTTGCAAGACATATGCAAAATCACTCCTCTGCCAGTCCTCTGTTCCATTATTTAGCATTTGCACGTATCACTGTGTGCTTCTTTGTATGTCAGCATAAGAGAACAGGCCACTCTAGAGGGGAACCCATAACCAATTTACAATGTGCTGCCTTTGAATAATTTCTGACATGATGTGATCTTTTATGCCAGAATGCATTCAGAGTGCAGAATTGGTTCTGGCTTTCAGCAAGAAAGGATGAATTCTATTAAATTTGGACTTTGTTTCAGTGTCACAAGGAGAGGATGAGCAGGTCATTAAAAATGCAAAGTACAGCTTAATTTGGCCTTTTATATTATTGATTTACGTATTATTCATACAAAGTACATATCCACCTCAATCTCTAACCACACACATTGCAGCTTCAATTTCAGTGGGGCCTTGCAAGCAAGGTCTTTATGCATGTTACATGAAAGAGAAACTGAATGAATGTGGTGGAATGTACAAATCGAGATAGATTGCTTACAAAGTAGAAGTTCAGCGTAAAATAAAACGAAAACTTATTTCTTGGTAAAGATAACATACAATGTAGTTCACAAAATCCTCAACCTTTTACTTTCTTCAAATCATTAAAACTTATGCTATCCTTGACAGAACTGGGATACAAATCCCATGACTGAGACTCCCCCCCACCACCCAGCTCGGAGTCAGGCTCTGCCACTGTTAAGCGCTCTGAGACGCTACCCTGCCAGGAGGGCACTATATAAGTGCAAATTCTTGTTGTTGTTGTTGTAATTCCACCCAGTGATATTTGGAGTCTGAAGTCATTTTAGAAAATAATTGATTGCATAATTTGACGCTGAGCTATTTAAAGTCTTGTTTTTTTTTAAAAAAATTAAGTGGGGAGATTTTCAAATTCATTTTATGGCAGAATAGGTCTGAATTGATGAATTTCACCTTGTGGAACATTATCCATATGGATCCAAAGAATTTAGTAAGAGATTAAGGCAGAACACTTTAACTCTGGCCAGAAGCTGAGGAATTTGTGGATGTGTAACTGAGCCCATAGACAGAGCCCTGCCAACATTAGTTTCTAAATGTTATTAAAGAGCTGGTTGCACCAGAAGCTCTAAAAATAATTAAAATTGTGTTAAAACTTTTCAGAGTCCATTTTGAGAGGATCAAACTACAGAAAAGCAAATTGATATCTGACAAAATAATCTCATGCATTGGGATGTGCCTCAATGCTGTTTGATTATAAGGTGAAACAAGCGATTATTAACATTGCATAGTTCATTGGTCAGGCCTCATTGGTGTATTGTGGCTTTGAAAGCACATTGGTGCCTTCTGTCAGTTGTAGTGTTGCTGGAGGGAACAGCATTAAGGATGGTTTTCAGGCTTAGGGGTTAAAGATACAAATTCAGATTCAGAAAATGCTAATTCTACGTTAATTTATTCATTTAAATAAAGAACGAGTTAAGAATGGGATTGAAGGGTACAGGGGTAAACTCTTAATATTAATATAATCAAATACTCCACAAAACATGTCTGTCATTCAAAGTGACCAGTCAAAAATGAAGAAGTAGGTTGAAAGATTACACTGCATAGTGGAGATTAATTTAATTACCTTGGGGCCATAGAGGAACATTGTGGAAATTTTCCTCTGGAGATTAGCAGCATTTTGCAGCACAGAAACAAGCCAATCAAGGCATCAAGTCTGTGCTTCACATAAACCACCTAATCTAATCCCACTCTCCTGCTAGTTCCCCACATCCTTTAATATTACTCCGTGCTAATAAAATTGATCCTTACAATGAGATTATTAAGTCAAAATATTTCATAGGGTTTAATAGGATTTACTGCAGAGTGTAGTGTCTGTGTATTTTTGTATGTGAACGCAGCAGCCAAATCGCACACAACAATGTCCCACAAACAACCATGAAATGAATGACCAATTTAATCTGTAGGGTTGTTGGTCAGGACAGCAGGAAAGTCCATTCTCTTGTAGAATAGTGCCATGGGATATTTAACATCCCCTGGACCTCGGTTTAATATCTCATCCGAAGGATGATACCTCTGACAATGCAGCGTATCCCCAGGAATGGACTGTCAACCCAGACTATGAATTTGAAGTCCCAAATGTGAGGCTTGAATCCACAACCTTCTGATTCAGAGGAAAGAATGCTACCAATTTAGTCAGGCTGACTCCCTTTTAAACTAATTGGGTAGAGCCTATAACAGAACAGGTTGTCATGAGATGTGGAAAGAAGGATTGAGAGGTCTTTTCTTTTCCCAAGCTTGCTTAAGACCCCAGTAATTATCAATGTATAGTTCTTACACTTAACTGAAAATATACTGCACTGAAATTGCACAACATAATGTATCTTCAGGACAGTTTTAGAGCAGTTTGAAAGTATAAGACCACAGCCTTTTTAGGAGATATAAAATATTCTGAATACTCACTTTGCAAGATAAGGACTGTGATCTTTCCTTCTGTATTATATTAACACTGGCAGATTGAGAGCTTTACAACATCTGTGAACTATAGTACTTTGGCATTTGAAATTCTGATCATTTTTATATGACAAAGGTTATTTCTTCATCTATATGCTATAATATGAATTAGTAACATTTCAGAATACACTTTTGATGAAGTGTGATTTGCCTTGCTCGCATACGAAGACAAAATTAAATGCTTACCAAGGGACTTAAATGAGAATTAGAACTCAGACTGAACATCTGCTTGAAATGTTATTATCCTATCCTACAGACAATGTTACTCCCTCATCGTCCAACTAGATTGACAGCTGAATGCTGCAGTAATTTCTGTCTCAAATATGTTCGAGTGAACTTTGCTTTATTTTTTTCGGAATTATAGTGTATGTTCTTCAAGGTATTTTTTAAAATAAATTCTTGACATTTGTTCAAGAGATATGGAATGGGTGGAGAGTCTAATATATTGTCACTGATTCCACATGAGCATCTTGCATTGAAATACCAGCTGGTATCTCAGTAAACCGAAATATTATTCTTCTTGTTTCATTATTTGGGCTGCACGTAAAAGGTGTACGAGTTGTGAAAAGGCTTCTTGGGCAGATTCTAAGCACACTGTCAAATAAGGGAAAGGGGAACAGAATTTCTTTGCAGCAGTAATTTGCCCCTCAGTAAATTAATTGGTTTAGATCTCGGAAATGATTGCGCAAAGTATGTTTTCCTTAAAAGCTTAGTTTTAAAAAAACTCCAGATGTTAAGTGTTTCCACATATGTGCATTAGCAGCAGATATAAGTTTAGATAGCTGATTTTCATGTATAGTTGTGATTAATATCCACTTGTTTCTGGATGCTTTGAAGCTAATGGAGTTCATTGTGACACAGATTGCATTAAACTGATGGAAATCATAATCTTGAGAACGACATCCAAAATGTATCTTATATTAAGTTACAACTTAAGTGTATCGATAGGCTCCTCAGCATTCAAAAGCAGACTTAATTCCAATTTGGGAGGAATGGAATTCAGAGCAATGTATTCCCCATTATGCAAAAACGTAACCATCAAAAGCTTTTGATTAATGAACTGTACAATTCTATAACAATAATAAAATTATATAAAGGTGGCATAGGTATGATTGAATTAAAATTAGTGGATATCTGACAGTTACATGTAGATATGTTTGGCCACTATTAGAACAGAAGATGAAGTTTATACGAACAAAGGGTGTTTATGTACACCTTTCTGCACATTCCACTAGTAATATTCTTCTCTTTTATCCAGTTTACTGTGTGCCATAACATGTTATAATGGTCTGACTTGTCTCGCATTCAGCAGTTGCTGTTTGACTCCTGTGTTGCACGCCTTTTCTCTGTGACACTGACTGATGTACAGTGTCAGTAAATTCATGAAGTTTGAGAACAAGTCGTCTTCAAAGAGGTTCAAACCGCAGAAAAGCAAAAGAACGCAGGAAAGAACAGTATTCGTTAAACTGTATGGGCACAACATTAACCGCAGACCATGCATGTTCTGGACTGCAGGCATGACGATCTGCTGTTTTGTGTTGGAATGTGCGAGGCAGACATGGCTGTCACAGCAGTCAATAAGATCTGAGAGGTGCTGACTAATTGCCTGCTAATTACACAGTAAATTGTCTAATTAAGCTGATGGTTAATTAGGGTACGCGAGCACAGCAGCCATGTGGAAGTTTTGTCTGATGCCTGGGAAGTGGCTTATGTAATTGGCACACGAGGAGAGACTGGCAGAAAACACGTCTAGAGTTAACACCGAGGCATTTTGTGACAGAACCAGGATGCAGTTCAAACAAAAGAGTTGTCATGTGTGTTTGAGCTTGTGTTAGATACCCAAAGCTCGTCCATGTTCTTGGCCAAATGGAGTTGCCTCTCTTGCTGCAGATTTTATTAAACAGCCATTTTAGCTAAAGTACGAACTGTGCTGTCAGTAACTATATTTGAAGGAAACTAATATCTCAGTAATTATATTCTGATGCGGCGTTTGTAGTTGCGTGACGACGCCTATTCGTTTAAAAATTATAATGTCTAGTATGCTTAAGAGTTAAGTTGCAGAACTAAATTGATTTGTGTTTGTGTTTTTCTCCAAAGAGATGTGTGAAAAGAAAGCAGAAATTAAATTTAGCTTGCTTATTGGTGTCATTTTAGATAAGCTTTTTTGTTTTGTTGGGGTAAAATATTTTGATATTTTGTAATTTCT